TTGCTGACCAGTCAGCTATGCTTTGCATGCAGCCGAGCTCGTAGCTGAATGAATGAATCAAAGTTGAAGTTTTGTCGACTTTCCGTGGATTTCGATATAAAATCGATCCATAATCAATATTAATTACCTTCCCCCACATTACCTGAAGTTAGTTGACGGCAAATTTCCCTTCGCCGCTTTTCCAGAAGCGAGCTCAATCCGCCACGAAAGTTTTTGAGACGACACTTCAATAAACGGCAGTCGGACGAATGTTGCATGTGTTTGTTTCTCAAAGTCGATGTCGGGCTTTCGGCCGCTTCGGTTCTTGATATTTGGTCCATTACATACATTCCCTGTTGGGAGTTTTTCATTGTATCCGCTTGAATTATTTTCTTGACATTTAAAAAGTTCGGAACGAATCTTGAAACCTTGTTTAAATTTACAGCGACAAACAACTGTCAACTAATGGCGGGAAAATCCAATACGATTTTTTTTCACCAGTGAGTTTTCGCCGTTCGCGTTTGTGATTGGACGAACGACGTTTTTTCACTAGTGAGTTTTCATCGTTCGCGTTTCCTATTGGCTAATGGATTTTATGTATCATTTATACGCAATCGTTTTATCGTGAGTAAATCTCAGTACTTATGTAATAAAAAATATCGTTTTGGGTTCGAAAAAAAGCAAGCTAGGATTTTTGAAAGGTAACAGCAGCTTGTAAATTCGGTTAGTAACATTTGGTTTCCTAAACATTTCTGCCACTAATCTGATTCAGCTATAGAATCTGCCACAGATCAAACCGTGTTAGTTTACACAAATATCCCTTAAAACTGAGGCTCCAAACGATATGGGAAAAGAGAATAACGACATTCCAAGTCTTTTGCCAGTTTTGCTTAAATTGGGTTTCCTGTTCCAGGGTCGAGGGAGAAAGCGAACGAACGAACGAACGTGGAAATAAAATGCGCGGGACATTCTAAAATTAGACTAAAAGTTGGATGGAAAAATAAAAAGGAAACTGTTTTATTTGTTGTTGCAAAAAACAGAAAATGACGGAACAGTCAGTCAGTCGGATAGCCTGCGAGCAGGCTCTGTTTTGGGATTCGCGTGATGGGCGCGGAGCACGATCGTGATGTTGAGAGAGCCTGCTCGCTGGCTAACGTCCAGACAGACAACAGAACAGACTAATCAAGTACTCACAGTAACAACAAAATGCCATAATTAATATATAACGGAAAATTCCACTTATAATTAATGTACTCAACACCCCCTGCTTAAAGGAGCTATGTCACGAATGGCACATCTTGAAAAAATTAGCCATTTTTTTCAAGTTCGCCATTCACAATCCGTCTTAATCTTTTTCATCCTCAACCATCCATCGTGTCCATGGTAGATAAAAATATCGTTTTGGGTTCGAAAAAAGCAAGCTAGGATTTTTGGAAAGGTAACAGCAGCTTGTAAATTTGGTTATTAACGTTTCGTTTTCCTAAACATTTCTGCCACTAATATTCAGCTACAGAATCTGCCACAGACAGGAGCTCCTGCCACAGTTCAAAACGTGTTAGTTTACACAAATATCCCTGAATTTCCTCGTTGGGTGCCCTGTTCCAGGGTCGAGGGAGAAAGCGAACGAACGAGCGTGAAAATAAAATGCGTGGGGACATTCTAAATTGGACTAAAAGATGGATGGCAAAATTAAACGAGAATTGTTTTGTTGTTGTTGTTGCAAAAAACAGAAAATGACCAAAACAGTCAAACATACGTCCGGGTAGCCTGCGAGCAGGCCGCTCTCTTTTGGGATTCGCGTGATGGGCGCGGAGCACGATCGTGATGTTGAGGCTAACGTCCGGACAGACAACAGAACAGACTAATCAAGTACTTGAATGTATCACAGTAACAACAAAAATGCCACAATTAATATGGTTTATTATCTCTATTCAATACCGGAAAATGCCACTTATAATTAATGTACTCCGCACCCCCTGCTTAAAAGCCTCCCCAGTTGTTCACCGGTAATTAGCTCCTCCGGACTGATTACTCTTCCCGGGAACTTCCCAGTGGGTTCTAAGCACCCCGATCTTGTTAAACCCCATACAAGGGGCGAAGCTGTGTAAGCCAGGAGCCTATGAACTGAGTTTTCTGGTTTAGTGCCCGCTCTGAGAAAACCGTTTGAACTTTTCCGTTAACCTCTTAACGTGTTTGGAATCGCACAACATCCAACACTGATTTTATTTTAAAATCTGAATTCCTTTGTTAGTACGTGCTAAAGTCTTTTATCATAACCAGCAAAGTATATGCATGGAGCCTCAATAATCATCTTCTGTCCGCCTCTGGCCGGCCGCAAATGTTAGCTTCACCTTTAGATATTGAAGAAATGATTTTCAATCAAACACCGACAACAACAACAACAAGCTTTATTAAGTCTTAGGTTAAAATACATAGATTTTCACCTCCCGCAATTCAGACAGTCTAGAAACCAAAAGGGGGCGCGGGAACTCCCAGTGAAAGTGGACGAGAGTGATCGTTGGAAATTTTTAAGGGAGCTTGCCTAAAAGGTACTAGAATCGCGCTTCGTGGGCTTGGCTCGAATTCATTTTCACTCCAAAGAGGTAGCAATTCTAACTACAATTCTTACTTCTCAAAAAGCTACCAGGATAACTCTAATGGTGGTCATTTTAGAATTAAATACCCTAAGAGGTACCAAACCACGAATTTTATTAACCCTAACAGTGGCGGATATTTCTCTTTATCCATATCAAAACCATCTCCAGAATCCACCAAAATGCACTTTTCAGAGCCTAAAATCTCACTTTTTTTCTGTGGGAGGCCATCGCGCCTTTACTACTGCCGTCTACTTCCAAACATTTTCCTTCAATCTACTTCAGATTTTCGAGAAAACCCTGGATCCGTCTCTGCCTAAAGAGTACGACGATGATGCACATGCAGTTCTGCTAATTCTACAGAAGGTTCTAGACGACACTTAGAATTTACAGGATAAAATATTTCTAACATGTGTAAGATTCCGGCTTTTAACTGCATTGATTTAAATACCGTTACTCGCCGAATGGTCGCATGATTTCATCGTTTTATTATATGTCGCATTCGCTAATAAGTAAAACTCACAATACAATGACATGGCGATGCAGGCTAGGGACGCACCCTTTTCCCCATCGGAGAAGGGTGAAGAGAGCTAATGGAAAAACATTGCCAATGTTATACCAGTGTCGTCCAGGGGTCTTGGTTATACGGTATAAACTGAAATCCCTGGTTTTTTTTAAGAAACCCCTGGGTTTTTAAATTCGGTATACGGTAAACATTTTACGATGAAATATGGCTAATTGGTATATTTTGGAGATAACTCAATAGATATCAAGTTGAAACTTTAAAATCCATTCTATTTATCCTCGATCTAGAGGTGAATGGGTATATTGGGTAGTTTTTCTTTAAGGGATACATGTACGGTATACCAACCACTATACCCCCTCCCCCCCCTCCCCTGGCCGACCCCTTATACTGTTCAGCCGCGAGGAGACTGCTGTGGAGATGCAGATCAGGGGCCGGATATTTCCAAACACCAAGAAGAGAGTTGAAATACTCCGTAGTATCCTAAGTATTGTTCTTAACAATATGAAACAATACTTAGGATACATCATAACTTAGGAGATCTTCGTGAATCCGGCCCCTTAGATCAGTGAGTCAATTTTTCGTGTCATTGTCCGAACGAGTGCTAATCCAAGGGGGAGGGATTGGGATGGGGGTGGGGGAGGCTTCCACATAAAAGTGACGCCCGGTGAAAGGAATCCCCAAAACCTGAATCTCGCTGTTGTGAGTGTGTCTCTAATTTTCACTCCTAAGAGGTACCACTTCTAAAACAAAACTAGTTCCTATCCTATTTTCGTTTCCGGCTCAGGTAATACCCTAAAGAGTATCAGTAACCCTAACGGTGATCATGTTAGATTTAAACTCTAAGCGGTCTCAGACCACAAATTTTAATCCCTAAAAGGTACGGCGATCACCTCCGTCACTTTTATATAGAATCATGAGGAATACAGCTATTTCTCATTGCATGCTATTCGCGGAGTGACGCTTATAGAACTGAGGAATAACGCCGTCTGAATTTAGTTCTTCATTCATCATGGATATAGCAGAAAGAAAACGGCAAAAATGACAAAAATGTTAGTAGTACGCAACGGGTACGAAAAGACGGTTAGCCGAGAAGTAGATAGGAAATACGACAGCGTGGGCAGATTCCCTGCCGGCGGGCGGGAAGTATTTGAGATAAACCGGCGATTGATCCGATTATCAGCTATTCTACGAATTAGCACTTATCGCTTTCTACGAGGATAAAATCAAACGACACATACTTGGAATTGCGCTAGTTGTAGGCTTCTACTGAAGACAGCACTGTTTGTTAAATAAACAATTATGAGTGAAGAACCTACAAGTAGCCTATACTGCTATGAATGGGCTCTTCGCCCGGGGGGGGGGGGGGGGGGGGTACTTGACCCATGTTTGGGTATAGGGGTGCCGCTGAGGGTTTGAAACCCTGACCCTGTTTAGGGCAAAAAAAAACTGAAATACCCACCCTGTGTAGGGCAACACCCTCTATTTTAGGACCCTGTTTAGGGCAAACGACAAAATACACACTCTGTTTAGGGCAGGTTTATTTTAGACACCCTGTTTAGGGCAGACTCGCATGAAATTATATACCCTGTTCAGGGCAGAGAGGCCAAAAACCATACCCTGTTCAGGGCAGAGAGGCCAAAAAACCATACTCTGTCCAGCGGCACGTCCCCGTATAGGCCATATAAGGGAGTACCCCCCCCCCCCCCCCGGGCTCTTCGGTGGTGAATAGAACAAAAAGAAATGGGCGAGTCGACATGTTTTTAATATTCACTCTTACATCGAATTACCGAGTTGCTCTATTGAACGTTTGTATTGGAAAGTTCCGGTATACATTATACGAGGAGAAATATGTTTTATCTGTCAGTGCATGGCACAAGCTACTCGGAAAAACAATTTCCGAGTTCAACCCGCAACAGGATTCGAACCTATGACCTTCCGCACACCGGTCGGACGCTCTACCACTGAGCTACACTGAGGAGACTCGTGGGAGCTTAGGTTCAATATTGTTTCGTTTTTCTTAAAACAGCTGGAATTATTATGTGTACCTTTTGATGTTCGGTCAGGCATAAAGTCAAAATCATATACATCAAACATCGTTATTCTAGGAAATTTTTAAGTCTTACAGGTAGACTTGAAGAGAACACGTACGGTCCAAGGGCTAATGACACCGGAGCGTGAGATATCCACACACATACCCCTAAAACTAGGGGTGGATTTAATTGTAGCATACGCGAATCCGGTTGTCGCATTTGTCCCGTGCGAAACAACAAATCTAGAAAACTATTAACAAGAATGATAGAAGAGCAGGTGAAAATTAGCACCACCGGCGCTTATAAGTTACAACCCTTAATGCCGACATTTTGCAAGGAAGTGAAACCATTTTCAATTGCAATATTTTCCTGGGCGGTCGAAACATTTGACCCTCAGCCCTGATGTGCGTCAGTGATGCATACACGCGCACAGTCGTTGTAATGTAATGAGGATAGGAGTCACATGTGGGTTGAGAATGCTATCAGAATCTTCTCGTGTTCCAATCCGCATTAGCGGTAGGTTTTTGAACACAACCAGATGAATCGCACTCGGAACATTGTAACTTGCGAGCAGGCGTTATTTTCTTTCGTTTCTGCGTGGGGAGAGCGAGAGCGCGGGGAGAGGACTCCCGAAGTTTAGAGGAGGCTTGATCGCAGGTTTGGAACATTGTTGGACATTGCGTTGAGTTGAACTAGTCACTGCTTGCGCGTCACTCACGGCGTTCAGGTACTAGCGATCGTGCTACACACTGAAAATTAAAATTAATAAAAAAAAAAATACAAAACGTTATATTGCACGAAGCAGTCGCTTTCTGTTTTTGGGCTGACAGGTGCTTCTGGGTTGATGAGCTGAAATATTAAATATATATATATTTCAAAGTTTTCGACCAATTTGATCAGTAGTAAAAATGACTGTATATTCCGTCTTAGTTCGCTACTATACTTGAAATTGTACAAAAGAGAATGAGATCTTCGCAGTTATATTTCAACTTTTAAGGCCCTCTTTTCAACTGTTTAAAAGCAGACGAATTAAGAGAAGACCTGAAAAAAATTCTTCGAACCCATGACCCTTGCGATTACGGTGCAAACTTGAAATTGTCAGATAGTGATTTTTTTAGAGAAAATTGACTGCTGACTTTTTAGAGGATTAACCTGCATAACAATGCCAGTTTGAAAATGCTAAACATTTTAATTTTGCGAAGTTCAGTCGAAGATGTCTGAGCGGACAATCGGTATGCGGACAGCTCTACTTGACGTCCGCCTTGACAAAACCCCTCACTAACAGTGAACTCTAGCTCATACAACTGACTCTGTATTTACATGCACATTCCCGTAAGCGGCCAGCACAAGTTAAGGACACTTTTTCTGCTTCCCGAGGGTGTCCGCTTACGGGAGCTTTGACTATATGTGAAATAGGAACTGTCAAAAATTGAGTTTCGTAGCACATGCTTGTATCATCTACGAGAAATCCATCGGGTCTTTTTGCCGAGCGGGCCTGTTTGTCAAGATATCCCGAAGATAAACTGTCGCGGCTGCTATCTCAGTCTGCAAGAAGCAGCCATTTTTCGCAAACCTGGTAAAACAGAACTGGCGATAATCAAGTGACTGTCTATTTTCTTATGTCCAACACCATTTTAGGTTAAAAAACGCCACTGTTAGATTATGATAGCACTCTGCTTTCACTCACTAACCGAGCGCCAACAAATTAAAAGCCAATCAAGCAATCGTTATTGCACGTGCTATCTGAAGAGAAAGGCATGTCTCCCAAACTTGGACATCTTTGACCAGCTTCGATAAAAAATGCGCGCATAGTTATCATTACCAACATTCAGAAAATCGTACGATAGGGTTAAACTTTATGGAGGAATGCGGCAAATGAGGTTCTGTTTTACATGTAATCTGAAATTCTCAGATTTGAATATTTTCCTTTTATCGATAGAATCAAAGCTGGGAAAAGATCTTGTTTCTTGATATCACTGTAAAAACTGGCGCGTCTTTTCGACATTTGAATATTCTCTCGGAAATTATAAGTGCTAGCTGTAGAAATAGCTAGAAAGTTTCCATTAGTTGTAATAACAAATACAGTCCAAGCTCCCGTAAGTGGACACTCTAGGGAAGCAGAAAAAAGTGTCCACAACTGGAGCTGGCCGCTTACGGGAATGTGTAAATACAGAGTTTGTATGAGCTAGAGTTCAAACGGAGTTTTGTCAAGGCAGCCGTAAGCAGCTCTGTCCACATACGAGAGTGTCCGTTCAGAGAGCTTCGACTGTATACAGCTAGTGGGTGGAACGTGAAAATATATTTTGCAATCTTTGTGACGTGGTGCAGCTACGTACATTTTTTGTTTTTTTTTTTTTTTTTTGGAAAATTTTTCTTTGAAAATATGTATGTACGTACGTACATTTTTGTCAATGCTAAGAAAGCGCATTGTTTCAGATCCTGGCCGGAAAGGCAGGATAAATTAAATGGCCATTAATCCATTTTCAGACTAAGTGATCATCTTAATTCGATCAAATATTCTTAAAAATCGATCGCCTTCTCTCAATAGCCTTATAAGCCAAGAGGTCTACCTTTTTTATGGCTTTTAACACGCGTTCCCCATGTAAGTGAAATAACACACATTGAAACCTGCAATATTACCACAGTACTAAATCACCAGCTACAGAAAAGAATTTGGAAAATATTCCTTTGCAGGCGGAAAACGAAAGTCTGTGGAATGTTAATCACGTCTAGCGTTTACAAAGTATTTCTACAAACATCTGTCAAACTTAAACAGTTCTCAACAGACGAATCGGATCTCATCAGATATTCGGATAATCATTAAAGTCCATTACCGCAAACGCTTCGTGTAGATTTCCTACAACGTAGGTCTTATCCGTTTCCCGCCAATTTTAAGCCAGGCGTTCACACAGACAAGAAAAATGGTTGTCTTTATTCAGTGCATTGACTATTTGATGAGATTTACGCAGACCTTCCTTAAGCTTGGCCGACATTTTTTAAAACTATAATCCGCACATCCTAGCAGAGCAAAGGTTAAGGGGAAGGCCTTGCAGTTGAAAAAACACTTTCATTCATTACCCGGCTTAACGTGCTTTCCTCAAGCGTACTTCAAATACCTTACAAAGCAAAACGGGTATATAAGTAATCGACCAAATGATGATAATTAGACAATTTTTCAAAGTGTACTAGCGTAATCACTTCCCGCCGAAGACGCAAGATGTTTTGGGTTTGGCTTTTGTCATTACTCGCAATAACCTTCCACGCAACCGATGGATTTCGGTTTAATCCTCCTCAAAAGTGCGAGAAAATCAATGTTCCGCTCTGCCACCGTGTTCTGCCGTACAACCTAACGCGTTTCCCGAATTTACGCGGTCATCGTAGCCAATCGTTCGCCAACAACTCGATTCAGTCATATGGCCCGTTGATACAACGAGCAAATTGTTCCAAAGACGCTGTTTTTTTCCTCTGTTCGTTCCACTTGCCGATTTGTTTACCAGGAATCGAAGAGGACGTCATTAAACCATGCCGATCTTTATGTGAGCGGATCAAGAAGGACTGCGCTGCGGTTCTAGAATATTGGCCAAGCTTTGTGAAGTGTGACGAGCTCCCCGAGTTCTCTGATGGTGTTTGCATCCAGCCTGAATCTTTCATTCCTGTTTCGCAGCCAACAAGTAAGTCTTAAATCTTCATCTATTGAGTTAATTAATGCTTTAGCCCTGTTTATCGCTAATTTCACTTTAATGACACAATTTTATTGCGGCCAAACCATTGTAAATTTTACATGTAATCTAATCAACGTAGCTAATCATACGACATATTAACAATGATTGAGACTTTTAAGGTGATGCAAAGTTTATAGCAACGACATCTGTGATACGTTTAAGCGTCGTGTGATCATCAACATCCAATGTCTCCCTACAATATTAATACAGTGTTACGTATAGAAGTGACAAGAAGAAAGAAATTAATCAAGTACAGGATATTACTTTGATGTAGAACGAAATTCTCATAACTAATATTAAACGACTTATATGACAACATGTAAGGAGTATTAATACTTGAATCTTGGGGCCAAAGGGCCAATTTCATTTCTCATTGATTTGTTTAGTAAAAACATCGGAATTCCGGCTTAAAACAATTAGATTATGAGCTGGAGATTTCTGTGATGTGATAGTTGATGAGGTCGCAAAAATCGTAATAAAACTTCGGAGAAACAAGAAACCGCCATTCTGTGGGCTACCTCCAGCCACTCGTATACTAATGCATTGACAGTACGAGTAGCTCAGCCAATTAGATTGCTACATTTGCATTAGAATACGAGTTTTATCGGAATACTAGCGCATGTCTGAAATTTGATTTCGTTGTTTAATGGAGTGAAAATATCCGATTAAGCGGCTTTAACAAAATAATTCATTGGTAGTACATTTTAATCGGGCATAATCACCTGGCCATGTAATTTGTTTTGTTAGCTTGCTTAAAACGGAAAAATGAAATGATATAGGGATTAGTCAGGTTTAATACTAACCGCATGCGTCATGTGGGGGCGGTTTATCACTGAAGACAGTAATTAAAATGCGCGTGGGAAGGTAGCCTGTTCCAGGCGTTCGTATAGTGGGGGAGCGAGAAGACGCGAGAAGACGCGAGAAGCGCGAAGAACGGCGAAGAAAAAACGGCGAGGGGGAAGGAATCTGCTTGGTTCATAGCTTAGTGAAGACGGCCTGGCTCTCCACCAATCAAAATTAATTTTGATTGAAATTCGTAAAAGCGCTGTTCACTATCAACTTCACATTGCTACACGTTGACAGGAAAGCACGCCTACATAATTGCAGTTTTGTCTTGCGGACGTGGTTACTGAGGTGAATTAGCTGACATGCAGTATTTTCCTTACGTAAGAGCCCACCCAGTCTTGACGATTAACGCCCTTCCGAGCGTTTGGCACCCCGCCTAA